CGAGCTGGCCGGCCGTAGGCCGGCTTGTATTTTCGAGAAGATATATATACACGGAAATGGCGCATGGCGGCTGGGAACACGAAGAGTTAGCAGCCTTAGGGCCGCTGTTTGCAAAGGCGGCGCAACAATATTCTTCTCCGTGGTGCGAACAGAGAGGCCCAGTAGTCCACACCGCTGCGAGCAGGAGAAATGAGGTAACCCCGCTCCACATGATCCGAAGTCACGACGGGCTGGATAGCGCAGTTTCAAGCGATGCGCCCGACGTGTGGCGACTCCCCAACGTGCCATTGATCGACCGGCGGCTCGGGTATCCAGCTGTTTACGTGACTAATAACCGTTGGGCGCCAGAGATTCCAGAGATGCCGACAAACACGAGCGAATGGGCTGGCTCGAAGAGTGCCGTTTCACCGGCAGCCCCTGTAGAGTTCCGACTGGGGAATGCGGTGCCCGTGCTCCACCGCGAACACAAAGGACAGATCGCGCGTGTCATGTCCATCGACGAATACGCCGCATACGAGGCAACACATACTGCAAATGTCGCGGAAATAATCAACTCTTCACAGCTAAAAAAAAAAAAAAAAAAAACTGTGAAGCCAGCAGTCGCTTGGCTTAGTCACACACAACGACGCGACTCTTCGAGAGTCGCTTCCACTGACGCACCCGGTTGGATGCGAGTGAGCGCGCACCATCATCGAACCTCTCGCAATCACAAATCAGCTACGTTCGTCCCGAACCCGACGATGGGTGCCAGTAGTCGGCCAATTCACACACCCGAACCTGCCCAAAGACGGCGTCCTAAATCTGCAGCGATGGACCTAAAACCGAGGTACCGTGGCCGCAAGCACGTCGGTGAGAGCACTGCTCGAGAAGAGCACGCATTTGCATATGCACAAGACAGCGCGGTCAATACATACATCCCACGAAGGCACTGTATTGAAAAAAATTCGGCTGGGACAATGGCTCTCCTTCGTGGTGAGCCGAGCAAACATACGCCCACCTGGTTTGCCCACCCTTTAGATTCTGGCATCACATAGTGCCTCCATCCTGCACAAGCCCCGAAAAGGCAGGATGTACGCGGCCTAGCAGAAGGTCGGACAATTACAGAAACATGCTTCGCGGGGAATCGAGGGCGGTTTCCCCGGAACTTGAACAGCACATCTATGTTTGGACAAGCATATGAGAAGCAGCTTCATGCGAGAAGATCCGACAGGGATTACTGCGTGTTAGCCTCCCCAGCCGAATTCTAGCCCAGTTATATCGTGTGTTGCCAAGGTAGATAAACGCAAAACTTCCGCATTAGCCTGGGCGCGTGCTAGGCCTTCCCTAGTACGAGTCAATAACAAACAATGAGCAGCCAATATCCTAACTAGGATTACATGCTCCTGTGATACTCTCCCCCCTTCCCCGCCAACGTACATAATAATAATAGACCGGGGGGCAATAGGGCTCAAGCACGACTTTGGAACGAGCCTTTGTCCGAATGGCTTTGCGATTTTTGTTGCATGAAGTTTTGATATGTGTGGCTATCAGCGGAACCCGCTGATAATAATGGTGAAACAAAAGTGCTGCAACAAAAATCGGGTGGCCAGGAAACATTGGTCGAAAGCCTCTCGGACAATAAATTCGTGCTTGAACCGTATTGCCCCCCGGTCAATAACCTCGCTGGCAGTTTGTCTGTGCGGCACCGTGCCCGAGTCTACGAGAGTGGCCTCCTTCTTAAGTCAGCTCTAGCACCCACTTAGACTGCCCTTAACCTGTTGGTTGTGGGCCCACAGTGAACTACTTAAGAAAGAGTAACTTATTGAACCGCGCCCCATAGGCGACGCGAGTTGAGCCCAATACGAAGCAAAAATGCCTAGCAGTAAAAAGAAAGAACAAAAGAAAGAGCGGAAGAGGGCCGCTGCATCTGCCAGAAAAGCAGAAGAGCAACAAGCATGTGCAGATGAGCTAGCTAGACAGGCTCATGAAGGCGCGTTAAGACCAGGTGAGTCTACAAAAGGATCTAAAGACGACACATCATGACTCATCGGATGATCAGGATAGAACATCGGGATCTACAAGCGATGTATCGAGAGGTGCAGGAAATTTTTTTAGGGTAGTGTAGGAAAGCAGAAAAACAGAGGGCAAATGAGAACGCCCAGCATATAGTGCTCCCCGCGTAGATGTCTCCATAAGTGCCACTTTTCATCACCATATGCGTGGTTGGCGATACACCCTCGGTAGGGGTCTGTTACTAGCAGGCCACTGGACAGCCCTCGGGCCCATGAGTGTACTCGGTTGCTGCGCGGAGGGCGGCTGGGTACTCGGCATAGCCAACTATAATATAGCCGAGGCCACCGGCAGCCTGGGCACCACAAGCGACGAGCAGTATCTGGTACAAACTGAGGCCAAAAGCATCATTGATTATCTCTGCAATGGTCGCGGCGACAACCCAGTAGCAGAAGAGGAAGAGGCCAACAACCGTAGGACGGTGCTTTGGCGGTGATACAAGCTGGAGACAAACATAGAGCGGTGCTTCTATAAATGTGTCAAAGGACTTTCCTATAGCTTCGCCCATGAAAGCTAGAAAGAAATCATCGTTTGTTACAATGGCTATCAGCTTAAAGGGCGCACCACAAATGAGAGACAGACCAGGAACAACGAGAATCGTCGGAACTCCAAACAAGGCAGCAGAAACGATGCGATCCACTAGCCAGCCAGCAACGATAAGAAAGCCGACACCAATACCAACTGTAATAATAGACGCAGTGAGATATGAATACAAATCTGCGTAGTAAGGATAATTATCGAGAAAGTATGTGGTAATCCATGTGCCCTCTAACGTGCTAGATACACCACACATCGCCGAGGCGGCGATGGCTAGACAAAAAAACGACCTCCCATCATACATCCACACTGCTGCGTCTTGAATTTCACGTGTGAGGGCGGCGATGGGTTTATCAACTTCTCCTCTTGTTGTAAAGATGTTGGGAGCCAGGATGAGGGTGATTGCGGAGATTCCAAGACCCGTCGCGATCA